CACACATGCAAGCACACACACAAACACACACAAACGCACGCACACAAATGCTCACACACACATACACACACACACACACACACACACACACACACACACACACACACAGGGACGACCCATGCACGCTTGCTATGGGGATTTTGAGTAAACATTTTTTTGTGTGTTTAAATAATTTGGTCTTTACTGTTCACACTAAATCACACTCAAACTGGCCTAAAAGCATTTTTTATTTTTGCATTTTATTTTTTTCTGGAATCTTTAATTGTCACTTAAATTGTGTCTGATATTTATTTTTGTTAGTTTGACTTCCTCCCTGAATATAGGATTGAAGACAGGTACAGTTTCTGCAAACAGTAAATAAACACTGACCTTTGGTTTACTCCATCTCAAGTGCTCACTTGAAAATGCTGAGAGGGGACTTGTTCCTCAAACAAGACACAAGTGTGTGCCAAAAACTACTACAAAACACTCACACGCGCAAGTTCTCTAGTTCTGCTGACAATGGGTTTACGATGACAGAGGGTTATGAGTGACTCTGACACACTGCAGACCCCCTCCCTGCTGTCCCCCCGAGAGCAACACAGGCGTCTTTGTGCTCGCTCCACCATCAGTGACTATCCATCACAGACTAACCTGACAGCCCACCGCAGTCCTGCGCCAAGCCTCCACTCTGCACTCTGCCTCAACCCCAACCCGACCCGGAGCCGAGGACGAGACCGCGGGCCAGTCCTGCCAGACCGAGGGGGTCCCAGAGGGCTCCTGTCTGTACAACAAATCATCTTATCTTACATTCAGAGGGATACTTTCACTCATAGCTGAGAGGCAAAGTAATATACATAAGTTTGGTTTGAAAATGTTACATTTTCAACCCAGAACAATTTACACAACAGCTACTTTGCACAATTTAATGTATTCTTAATACAATGCCATTATGTGTCTGTTGTATATTGCTTTATATTTTGTAGCCTAGTGAGACTGTATATTGATCTTTTCTATTGTAAATGTGTATACATTTGCTGCTAATGTTCATTTTTTATTTAAATGTATATTCTTACTCCCCTTACTTGACGCTAATATTGATTTGTATTTGTTTATAATATTTGTACCTTATTCTATCTATCCATCCATCCATCTATCTATCTATCCATCTATCTATCTATCTATCTATCTATCTATCTATCTATCTATCTATCTATCTATCTATCTATCTATCTATCTATCTATCTATCTATCTATCTATCTATCTATCTATCTAATTAACACCCTAAACCAGGGGTGGGGAACCTTTTTTCTCTCAAGGGCCATTTCAATTTTTACAACATCCTTCGAGGGCCGTACCAATTATTGAACTCAACGTCTGCTTAAAAAAACTAAAATCACAGCACATTGATTTCGCCTTTCTTTCATGCTGTGCAAAGAAAAAGCAACCTCTTAATCCAGATATTTGACCATGACCCGCGCATGCATGCACTGTGGCATGACCACCAAAACAGAAATATATGGACACAAGATGTGTGCAAATGTATTTAGTTTCATATCCATGTGGACATGATTTAAGTGGGGGGGGATCTAACCTCATCTAGGGGGGTTTGGGGGCATGCACCACCAGGAAAAAATGTTTTTAATGTTGAAGTTAAAAGCATCAATCTGGTGCACTTTGAGAGTAAAATTAATAGATCTATGGATACATCTCTCAACACCCAGATGAAACAGAACTGTAAACAGATTTTTTTTTTATGGATATTTTACAAATCACTCCCCTTTCAAACTGTATTCTTGTTTAATAATAACTTTTTTACTGTAATATAGTATTTTATACCTGTTTACTTTATTCTCTTATTGTTTTATAACTATAATGATCATATAAAGATGTGCCTTTACCTCACTGGTTGGAGAAAAGCTTCTTATATTCGTTAGCATAGCTAGCTAACCAGATGCTAATAACAACAAAGTTATTGACTGTATGATCAGTATGACAGATGAACAGATCGCCACTGGGCTTTCAACTAAAGACACAGCCATGCAAAAACTGCGGCATGTGTACAGCTCCTTATGGGTACTGCAATTTGTGAAGTCCCGGCCCGGAGCCGCGTTCTGGTGCTCCCCGTCAGCACTACACCCCTGTCAGACGAGACATATACCACGTGATGACACGTTAGGCTCGTGTTGTGTTCAAGGACCCTGACCTTGGCCAGGAAAAACAGGCACTCGCTTGTTTAATTATTCTGCGGTCTAGATTTATTTTATTTTTTGCGTGTGTTTATAAATTACCTCGAGGGCCGTACCAAATGGTCTCGCGGGCCGTATACGGCCCGGAGGCCGGAGGTTCCCCACCCCTGCCCTAAACGTATACAACTAATAATAAGTAATGTACTGGAATAGGTACAATAAAAGAAGGAAGTGGTGAATTACAGCTTGATCCCTCAAACCAGGCTCCAGTACAACATGCTGTGGGCTTGTCCTGCTTGTTATAACTTTGTATGTGTTTCTTTAACATATATGTAAGTCTCTTGAGCATCTGCCTTTAATAAAGCACTAATTACAAGTCAGGTTCCTAAAAGGCCTTTCTCCCAGCAGACATGTTCACTTGTGATAGCAGGAAGAGCACAGGTGTAATTAATTAGAATGATTACAGCTCTGCTCCATGTACTGTAGGTGTGCCAGTAAGCTATTCCCCTTGAGCCAGACCACGCCATGACCCAGGAACTGAAGTATTAAACACAATGTACCCATAATTAGTGTTATCAATTACGCCTGCTCTATTTCTAATGTCAAAATGCTTGCCATGACACACTAATAATCATATGGTGCTGTGATTGTTGGATAAAATAGCCCAAGATACCATTACTTTAAGTCTGAGGAACTGCATTTTGTCATACAAAGAAAAGAGGAAACATCTGAAGAAACAGGGCACTGTGCTGTATTCAAAGGTGCAGCTCGTAATTGGGAAATAGTAATATTGTAAATGTTTTGCCACAGGTGCATATTCATGCCCGCCCAAAAAAGAAAATAAACTTAGTCACAAATATATCATTATACTTATAATTACGTACTTAAAGTTCATTTTCTAATTCCACTGCGAAATAAAAAATTGCATAAACCAACAACATTGTTACCGTTCTCGTGATAACTTTGTCTTTAGCAACTGCCAAGAGACTGTAGTGATTATACGACAGTGTACAGTATATGGATGAATAGCATTACCCACACTATTTACTATCTACACTGACACTGGGAGATTTATAAAACAAAGTTGTAGCTAGATAGGCTAAGTGTATAGGCTGGTGCTTAGTGTGTATTTGAGTTTTCAGGGGATCTACTTCCTCTCTAGGCCTGGTTAATTATGTTAATCTATGTGTAAGAATAAAGGAAAGTTTAAAATCTGGTGAGGAAGACAGGAAGTATTGGAGTTTAGCTCGGGAAAATTATTCTAATAGTTCGTTAATAATTCAGACTTTAAATGATCAACTGGAGGTTAGCTTCATATATTACTTTCCATTCAATTTTAAGAATTAAACATGACATTACAAAATGTTACTTAAAATATATCAGTGCCTTTTGTCAGTTTTCTGGCTCCACATTTATTACTGCCTACAGAACCTCTTAGCAGTTGTGTGCCTCCACATACCAGTCAAGATGAAGTTTACTTCCATGTCTGCACAGCATGTCATCACTTCATCATTTTATCTGTCAGACATTTGTGTGAAAGGGTCATAATTAAAGTATGAATTCTGGCCACACTTTTATTTTTTTTAAGTGACCTTGACCTTTGACCTTTGAATTTTGGCTTATAACCACATATATCTAATCAGTCCATCCTTGAGTCTAAGAGGGTGTTTGTGTCATATTTAAAGAAAGTCCCTCCAGGCCTTTCTGAGATATTGCATTCAATGGGACGGACGGAAAGACAAACAGTAAACATAAAGCCTCCGGTCCCAGCTGTCACTGGCACGGAGGCATAAAACACATTTTGAAAATAAACATATGGTAGTAATATGGGATTCACAGGGATGCAACACATCTCACACGATGCCTGTCATTCCAGGCCACTTCTCTGCTGACAGAAGTGTGTATTTTGGATGTTTGTCTATACTAGCGGAAGCAAGTGTGAATTAGCTGCTGAGCTATGAGGTGAGACACGTCCTGGAAGGATTAACACCCGGTGGCTAGGCTAACACCGCCACTAACTGAAAGAGGTCAGGACAACGAAGGCCATACCTCTGCGTGGTCATCTGATTATTGTCCCTTGCTTTCTGAGAGTAATGGTACCCAGTGTCAACTCGATTCTCAAATTACTGTGGCTGACTATACTCCGTCCATTCCTGCACAGGCCTGTCTGAACGCGAAGGTCACTTGCATCACCCTGTGCAATCATCTTAGGAGGAAAGTCAGAAGATATGAATGTGGTTCCATAAAAACAAATGCCCAATTATGGCGAGAGTGTTCATGGCAAATAAGCGTTTACATGTTTAGTATCGATTTAGGACATATCTCTGAACCTTCAACCACAATAAATGTTTATCTGCGACCGAGCTTAGAACAACTTTGGCATCACTTCCTTTACATCTACAACTAGGAGCCCACCAACTTGTTGTCATTGCTTATCATTGGCTCCTAGTCGAAGTGACAGCTGTCTCCAGACTGTCCCCACTTCCCCCTCCTCTACCCACATGCCAGGGGACTTTATGCATGGTGTCATGGAGGGAGACGCGAGTCTGGGATTAGCTCATTAAGACGGTCGTCTTTGATCCCAGGTTATCTCTCCCATTTCCACGGCAACTTGATCATATCCTGGCCTCTTAAGACACACACGAGTGCACAAACCTACACAAGGGCGCATACACGCACACCCGGGCCCTAAAGCCCTAGAGAGCAGGGCCCAACAAAGATGTGAAGTGTAGATGTGCAGCAACAGCTAAACGTCGTGTCAGGTTTCTGGGGGCTCGTGCTAAATTTAACCCTGTGATCCTGCAGCAGGCAGAGGGGTTTAAATGCCAGCCTACAGTTGCTCCACACCAGTTGTTCTCCACACGTCTTCCACTCATCACAAACTCAGGCCAGGAAGAAGACAGGCGCACACACGTACACCCGACACACACTCTCCAGGCGCAGAACCAAACACCACGTAGCGTAGAGCAGTCCAAGGGGAAGCAGGAATCTTTGTCCCCTTTCAGACCACAGCGTTGTCCAGCATGGAGCTTTTTGAGACCAACCCGTACTTCTACCCCGACCAGCGCTTCTACGAGGGAGGGGACAGCTACTTCCCCTCTCGCCTGCCTGGGGGGTACGACCAATCTTCCTACCAGGATAGGAACTCCATGATGGGCATGTGTGGGAGTCTGTCTGGGGGGTGTTGGAGTTGGGGGTGACAGGAACAGAGGACAAAGCCTCTCCAGACAGCATGTCCCCTCACTCCGAGCCCCACTGCCCGGGTCAGTGCCTGCCTTGGGCCTGTAAGCTGTGCAAAAGGAGACGGTTACCATGGGACCGTCGGAGAGCGGCCACAATGAGGGAGAAGAGGCGCCTGAAGAAGGTGAACGAGGCCTTTGAGGCTCTGAAGAGGAGCACCCTGATGAACCCAAACCAGAGGCTGCCCAAGGTGGAGATCCTGCGGAGCGCCATCCAGTACATCGAGAGGCTGCAGGCGCTGGTGTCTTCACTCAACCAGCAGGACACTGAGACAGGACAGCAGGGACTGCACTACCGACCCAGCACCACCCTGCCCAGAGTGAGTACACCAGAGGAAGGAGGATGAAGCAGAAAGTCATGTTCATGAATGAGATGGGAGCCAAAATGAAAACAGAAAGAACAAATTGGCAAAATACACGAAGAGGCACAAGGTGTTAGGATTACATTTAGATGAAGAGATACAGCACATAGATATATATTGGAAAACAAGTTGGCTGTTGTGAGACTGCCTCTATCAGAATCGATCACTGTGGATGTTTTGAGACTTTGTGGGATATTTCCATTTATGTGTTCAGCCATAGTACAAACAGATACACTTCCTGTCATCATGTTGCATTAATTTAACATTTTTAAGATTATCATCCAGTCGATATGTGTCACACTGTAGTATATGTTCATTTTTTGAAGGTTAAAGGAGATAATAATACCAAACTGAAAAGAGAAATGCTAATGGTTGGATCTCTTTTAACCTCTGCTGTATATACCAGCCCAGAAAAGTCATTATTTACATTTACCTCTGAGGGGTGTGTGTGGTATTGCATCGTAGTGTTTGTCTGGGGCGGGGTGTGTCGTGTCATAACACACAGTGACTGACAGCGACTTCTGTGTGTGCATCTCCATGGTAACAGGTGTCGTCGAGTGAGCCCAGTTCAGGCAGCACCTGCTGCAGCAGCCCCGAGTGGAGCAGCACTCCAGAGCAGTGCACGCAGAGCTACTGCAGCGAGGGTGAGTCCTGTTCACACACACTCTCATTACACAGAACAAACAGATCCATCTTGTCTCAGATACTAAAAGTGTGACTGGGTTGTTTTTTTCAGATCTCCTGAGTGCCGCTGACTCTCCGGAGCAGGGGAACATGCGCGCCCTGACCTCCATTGTGGACAGCATCACTGCAGCAGGCTCATCGGTGGCCTTTTCTGTGGAACTTTCCAAGTAGACCCTCCAACACTGCAGACTCATAGGTGCACATAGAGCTACTGACAAAAAAAGATAATTGGCTAATCAAACTGATAACTGGTTCAATTTAATTTATTTTCCAGCTCTATTGATCTAAGTGTCTTATGCTAAAACTTTAAAATATATATTTTCTAATTGTTACTCTGCTGATCAATGGGTCTGCAAGCCAAACTGAATTCCTTCTTTTCTCAATGAGGCCTTATTCCCTTTATTCCCTGACTTATCCGGCGGTCCAGACCTGTCTACCAGAGGGAGATTAGTCTAACTAGAGATTCAAGGACTTTACTGCATGAATCCAACAACTAGTTACTAGAGTGGACCTCTGTCAGGCTTACCTTCAGTCGCAGAGGAGTGATAAAGCCTGGTTTTCTCCTTACTTAATTTAAGTCTTTCCTCTTTTCAAAATCTTTCCCTGATCTTTCATTCTTTTTGTGTGTGTTATGCTTAAAAAAACCATGAGTTTATTTGTGGGGCCAATATGTACCATGGCAGTTTTGACCAAGATCTGCTTAATTTAAACTGGTTATGAATGCTAGTGATGTAAATACGTTCCCTTTTTCTACAGAGTGGTTTTGCCATTTTATTTTTTGCTAACTTATTTTTGACTTTTATAACTAAGATTGTTGTGTATTTGTAGATGTTCTGAAAGGGGATATTTTCCTGTCCAATTCTTGCAATAAAGACTGTTTTGAATACAATATTTGTCACTTTCCTAAGGTCATAATATCAGAGGTTTTAATTACAAAAAAGGTCTGTTGAGTCACCTCTATCGCCAAAAGAGGTAGTAGCACAATGGTGTTCAAGCCCATGGCTCACTCATGAAAGCCCTTGGATGATTGTGGCGACATTCCCAGAAATTACAAGCGGTTAGTGACCGTTTTCAATCACCTGGCTGTGGTCGGTCTGCCAGGTTTTGGTAGGCGGAGCCATAGCAACAGACTCGCTCTTTATCTCCCTCGTGTTTGAAGCCGTACTGGTTTTGAAGGTTACTAAGGCCAAACAAAAAAAGGGTGATCACAAAAAATGACGAGGCTTCAAAAACTATTAAAAGTGTCCCCCCGATTCAGTGGGGTAAAAAAGGTATGTGTCCGTACATTCGTCTTAAACAGGCTGCGTGACAGGTGCTAAGAAAATGGTGCTTATTGCTTTAGGTGCCACCAAGTAGAAAAAAAGGAGATCTTGGAGATTGTAACTTTAGTCACCAAAGAAATAGAAAGAAAACAACAACCAAAATATTTAAAAAACAGCTTTACTTATGTCTATATAGTGTCATAAATACAGTTCACTTTTTTAAATAGCCAAATAATAAAATCTTGATTTGTCAGCATTGTTTCACACCTGGAATAAAGACACAGTACTCATAGCTGCCACATAGCACATTACACCTTTTAGACACCTTGAAAAAACTCTAAAATAAAAATAAATAAAAGATTGTACACCCATCCAACAGTTCACTGGTTCATATGCTGTGTTCTCATTGGATGAGGAGTTGGTCAGCCGAGAGTACTGACTGCTCACTGGCACGTCTCCATGGCAACTAAATGGGGAGGTGACGGGACGGGATTAGAGGAGTCCGTCACGTTGAGCAGTTTTACGTGTTTGTCATTGGCTGATGTTGAGCAGCAGTTTACAGTTTGATTTGAGAGAAAGTAAGGAATCAACAGAGAGGAGCTACAGTGTTCACACTACCCATCCACAGAGAAAAGTCATGGTCACATGGCTGGGGTCGGCCTTTCACACACAATTTCTCTTCAAGTCTCCGACAGAGAGACTTATTTGCCCAGTCACACATACACACACACTCTTCATATTAAAGGATTCTCTCTATTCTAGGCTACATAGTGTCATACTGAAGGCGAGAGAGGCGAAAAGAGGAGAGGTAACAGCTACATAGTGTCAAAAGAGGAGGAGGAGGAGGAGGGAAAAGGAAAGAACAGGAGAAGAAGAGGCAAAGAGAGAAAAGTCTGGAATTGGACCCATGAACCTGTGAAGAGTCCTTGTAGAAACACACCGCCTCTTTAGTGAGACCCTCCCACTAACGATTCACACACTTACAGCAAAAGACACACAAAGGTCCGACACGGAGAGAAAGAAAGAGGAAGAGAAAGAGAACAGTCACTATCGAATACAGGGCATTGGGTTTCATACAGCAATTATATATTATTTTTCATATATATTTCCAATATATATATATATAATATTTCTATAAAAAACATAAGTCATCCATTTTATGTACATAGACGATAAATGAGTAATACCTTGCATAACCGGTAGAGGGGCAATGTGCAGTGGGATCTGCCATTTATACAAGTATTCATCATTCCCGAGTCCAAATCAATAACTTATCAGCTTTCTTTTAAATATTTTCTTTTTACACTAACCAACTTTTGCTTTGCCTTTGAGGCGATGACACTGGAAGATTGGTTTGGACTTGGCCATGTTGAGAGATTAGAACCAGGACAAGAACCCACAGCTGACACCAGGGGAGCAGGAGCACAACACCACAACAACAAGGCTACTGGGAGCACTGGGGTAAACTGGGAGAGACAGGGACGAGTCTCCTTTACAGCAGCGAGCGCAGCCAATGAGCACTCTCAAGAGTTCAAAGGTCAGAGTTGGCCTCTGTATTGCACGTGTCCGAAGGAGAGGTGAGAGGTGAAAGATGGGAGGCGAGGCCGGGCGACAAGAGGGGTGAAGACCCTTCCCCAGTGGCACCCGGGACTCCCTCTCCAGATTTGGCATATCACTCTCAAAAGGCCGCAAGCATGTGTCCATATAGGTAATGAGAATGCACTGGATAGAGAAAAAAAGACAAGGACAGTAAGAAGGAATGAAAGAACGTGAGAGAAAGATTTAATGTTTGCTTTGACCGTTTATAGTAAGATTGGAAATATGAATTACATTGCTGGAAGCCGATTAATGCCAACAATCTATATCTTATAAATATAATTCAATAAATCGTATAGCAACAATCAATATAAGGTTTTGCGCAGTTATTAAAGATATAATAAAAATCCTTTTATCAATTTGATTAATATGCCAAATATTTTCTTGATTAATTTGGTTTGAGAAGCAACAGAGCTTTTTGAGACCAATCCTAACTTATTCCCCTTGATTTTTACTTGAAAGATACATTATTAATGATTAATAGTTATTAGGAATAGATAGATAAACTAATCATTGCAGCTTTAATATCATGTAGCAATAAAAACACTGCACATGCTAATGTATAGTGGAATTACTGAGATGAACACCAGGGCTGAGCAGTAATTCAGAATTACCGTTTATAGACTTTGAACAAACCTATATCCTGTAAAATCATGATTGTGTGTAAAAACTCACATATTTCATCATCAAAAATCAGTACATAAGCCTGCGTCAGTAAAGTTAGTGTTCCTGCGTCATGCCACACCGCTGGGCAATGCTGGTTAAAAGCACACTAACCTGTACGTTTAGCAGTTTGAGGAAGTGTTTTGTTAGCTTACCTGTTAGCACTAGCGCTCCTGTTAGTAAGCAGACAGAAGTTAGCATGAGTAGGTCCGCACGGCCGAGGGGTCGAGTCTCGGTGAGGCCGGTGGTGGAGCTTGAGCAGATGTGGCACAGAGAGTTGGACAGAGAGGAACCAGCATGCAGTTAGTCAGTCAGGACAGGCGCAAAGAAGCACAACATAGCAAAATAAATTAGGTAGAAGAGCTGTTAGTATTGTAACACACCTTCAGACTGGAGCTGTTTCTTGGGCATCAAGTTCACAGAGGGCGGCATGGACATCGACGGCATGTGGAAGCCAGCAGGCAGCGTTTCCATAGAGCCCGCCATCATGCCCAGCCCCACCCCTCCCTCACGCGCCCGAAACCTCTTGCGCCACGATGGAGAGCGTCGAAAAGACTTGTCATCTCCACTCTACAGGGAAAGGGAGAAAGGCAAGGTCAAGCATTCCAACCTTTTTCAACAATATTTGATCAAAGCAGCAGCTTGAGAGGTCACCTCCTCTAGTCGACGGTCGGTCCCCAAGGCTAACAGGTTGTTGAACTCCCTCTCCAGTACCTGCCGTGCCTGAAAAACAGCACACACAATCTCTGTGAGACACAGAGACACTGTAAGCGTATCAAAGAGGGTCAGTAATGAGCACGAGCTAATGGCAAAATGTCAATGAAAGCTCTTGAAATACCTCGATTTAATAGAAGTACCTTCATGTTTTTAGTTGATCAGTATTTATGAAACCTCTGGGCAAGTCATCTGAAGCCTTTGACAGCGATTGAAAACAACTGAGGCCTCTTTATCAGAGAACGACTGATACAGAATCTGAGGCCGAAGTAAGAGTTGGCAGCATGAGGCCAGCACTGAGAAGAAATGCTGACTGCACACAAACTGCAGAGTCACCAAAAAATAAATCAACCAATCTCATAAAAACAACTGTGACTGTTGGAAGATGGACTGGTTGCAGAAAGCCCAAAAGGCCAGCCATAAGGTTACAGTCCTGGGAATTAAAAGTGTTGAATGGGAAGCAGGGTAAAGAGTGCTAAATCAAAGACCAGGATTGAGTAAGCAGTTTTGCATTTCCATCTCTAAGTCAAGAGGCTTTTTGGTTAGAGGCCTGAAATAATGTCAGAGGTTAACACAAACATTTTGTTCTATGAAATAAAATATGTCTAAAAACAACCCCATCTTTACATTTTTAGATTTAAAAGTGGGTGTTGATAAGTGTTTAATGAGACTACTAAACTTCATTGCGCTTAAAACAAGTCTTCTTTTAGCTTAGTGGTGGTTAGTTGACAATTCTGGTGCAATTACGCTTAAAGTGAAGATTATCCTGTTAAAAAAAATGTGATTCATAAACTCTTGTCCCCCACAGAGATTATGTTCTACTATTATCAAAAATGTAATTGTCATTTAAATGTAACTATTTATCATATTGGTATATTTCTTAAACATTTTAAATTATTTTTGAATCACTTTCTAACTGCATGTTGAGTGTCAACAGTGTTCCTGTATAACCACCTGTGTGTTCTGCATAGGGATCTGCAGGATGAGTGCGAGGCTGCTGTAGTCAAAGGTCTCGTCCAGAGAGAGGAGAGCTCCGTGGATGCCGCTCTCCAAAAGGTTGCCGTTATACTCCCTCAAACCAATGGACAGGACCCAATGGATCACCTGCTCATTGGTCCACACCAACACATCTAAAGAAAAGAGAGGGGCTAATACTCAAGGTATAATAATGTTTATACAATGTCAGCACAAATTATTATCAGCAAATCAGAGCAAATTCTATTAGAGTAAAGGAGCTAGAAAGAGAAAGAGAGAGAGACACATAAAGAGATAATGTTCATGTCCACATAGTGTCAACTCACTGGCACACTCCCTTTGTTCATAAAGCACAGCTGTCATCCAGCTTTCCAAGTTGGAACAGGCGGTGTTTGTGCATGTCTGTGTCGTTGTGTGTGTGTCTATGTGTGTGTGTGCGTAAACAGGGCAGGACTCTGATTTTAAATGACAGCTGAGTCAAGTTCATGAACAGAACTCAAGGTCAAAAGGGCAAGAGCGCTAGATAGATCTAAGTGTTTGTGTGTGGTGTGTGTGTGTGTGTGTGTGCGTGTGCGTGTGCGTGTGTGCGTGTGCGTGGACCACTCTTGGTATGTGGAGCTTTGGATCATAAGATTGTAGGCTTGCTTCAGCTGGCGTTTTGACAGTATGAGGTGCAGCT